AAAAAAAAAAAAAAAAAAAAAAAAAAACCCATCGTGTCAAAGAATTACTTTAATTTTCTTTAATAATACATTCTTCAAGCCATTGTTGTTAGTTTGATTACGACTTCTGCGTTTAAGTTCAGTAGTTTACTTTGAACGCAACCCCGGCATATAAAAAAACCTCTTTGCGCTGACGTAACTTAAGTCTGTTGTATTCAATGCAGTAAAATGAACTGCCATGTTCAAAATTACTGTTAAATTGAAAGGAACTGGCTTAAAATAGTAGTTTACTAAGATAGAGAAACACCAAAAATTTTGTTATAAACCACAAGGGAACAAGGATGGTTAAGGATGGAGAAGATTAACACGGATTACAAACGACAAACTTGAAAGGAGGATGAAGAGGAATAGGAGGAGGAGGAGGAGGTGGAGGAGGAGGAATGGACCTCGATGCGTCCGGGAATGCCGGGGATTTAGTGGACAGGATGCACGTACTTCAGCGACAGGGTTTGCTGCCTTGGCAGGGTCATAAAGCATGTTAGCTAATAAGGCATCTGAAGTTTTTGTGAAAAGTCCAGTCCAGTAAACGAAGCCAATGAGTATTACCATACATAGGGACCCAGGGGGGCACTCCCTTATATGGGCTATATAGGTTTGTGCGGCCCTGAGGGTGTGGTTTTTCAGCCGTTTTGGTCATAAATAGAGTGTAAAATTTGGCCGTTTTGGTCATAAATAGGGTAAGGCTTTTGCGAATCGGGCCGCACACCCTTGAAACGGCTCTTTTAACCGCAATAAAAACAAGAAACTGGCATTTTTAGCACACAGCGATTTATGTTCAAAATTGGGTGGATGAAACATTGCAGATAGGCGAGGCACTTTATGGAACAAGCTGAATTTTCTTTACATAAAAAAAACACAATTTCGAAAAAGAATGTAAACTGCAGTCGTAAACAATGTGTGAGACAGACGTTTTACCCGTGTAAGCTGTCTGCGAGGTATCAACCACACGGAATTTTTCCTCGTTTGTACATGGAGGCTGTACGCCGGCCAAATGGTTCATCAACACGTGATATTTTCCTTTTCTATCCTTATCCTCGTTGAAGAGATTACCGACGTATCCAGACTCTTCTCGAGGCAAACATTCGCAGTCTTCTATAGTGACTAGCGCCTCTATCCATGTTAGCATGCAGACTAAGGTGTCTTTCATGACTGACGACTGGCGTGTATCGGAGGGTTAGGATCGATTTTAGGGTTAGGGGATCAGCTGACGTTTTTTTTGCGATTTCTCAGCTATGAGTTCAAATTTCAGCCTATTTCTTCAGCTGTCAGTAAATTTTGCGGATATCATATTAAAAAAAAAAAAACGAAAAAAAAAAACAAAAAAAAACCGCCTTATTTTTCTTTTCAATCGGCATGTGAGTTAAACCCATCCAGATGCTCTGTATTTCTGACGAGTACATCTGTGTCTGTCAGGTCGAAATAAGTTTCTAAAATTGAGGCTAGCAATCCGACAAAAAAGGCACACCCACACACACCTAAAAACCTAGAATAAGCAGGCACTACGCCTTAATTTTCGTCGTATTTCATACAATGATGTAGTCGGGTGTAGCTTTTAGCGCTAACTTTAGACTCTGTAGGATAATTGAAATCTTTAGCAAGACTACCACAGGGGGATTAAGCAAGACATAAAGACCAGTGTTAGCACCGCGAAGTCAAATTAAAATACGCGACACTCTGACGGCAAAAGAGATTTTTTCTTCTGCCGGCAAAAACCGATACCACCGGTATAGTTTTTTATCGTCATAAAACACTAATCGTGTTATTTTCCCGGTTATGAATCCGCTTTCTCGAATTATAAGCCTACTTAACAACTTTTATTGACATCGGCTTAATAAATTGGAATGTGCCGCAAATTCTATTCAATTTTGAGACTGGTAAACGTTATGAAAACACATTACCGGCTAGTTAGATTCGATTAAAGTAATCTTTTTAAAGGAGTCCGACAGCATGGCTTTGGTTTCGCCGAAAAATGCTCTTGCCTTTTTCCGTGAGAGAAATGCAACACTCTGGTGACATAAATTGTGTAGTATTTCTACTGACCTATTTCTTACGCTGAAATTAAATTCTGTGCGAACTGAATGCGTCTTAACCAGACTCAAGTGTGAGCAAAGAATCTCTTACTTGCTAGAATCCGATTAAATAAAGCTGTCAGGCGCTAGGCTTACACGCGCACGCCAGTGGACTTAGAGGCTTGTTTAGACTTGCGTGCGTCGTCACTGGAAAATAAAAACTTTTACTCCGACATCCAGCCGAAGAAAGAAAATGAATCAACGAGGTGAAGCTATTAATTGATGCTTTTAATGCAATTTGCACACTATTGACTGGCCTCTGAAAGTTGCCTTTTCAAGTTTTCAATATTCTATAAATGTATCGTAGACAATGTCGTACACAGTCCTCAGCCTCTCCCCGCGATTATTTTACTTTTACTTTGTCATCGCGCAAGCAGCCCCTAACCTCAGGCAAATCAGTCAGTTAACGCTACAAACGAGCGAGTGGCAAACACACTTTATTGTCTCTCATTTATGTCAAGACGCGCTTTTTACTTACAATTTCCACTAGTCTGTGTTGATGTTTTGTTACGTAAGCAGTCCTATGGTTACTTTACACATTTACGTGTACGCTTTCCATTGGTACACGCGCAATCATGAAATGAAATGATCTGATTTTCACGAATTTGATCCCTGGTTTTCTTTTAAGTTTGGGATATTCAACAGATTTCTAAAATAGAATTTCACTGAACGGATTTGAGGGATATACAGAGATATGTAGATGCACTACAGAAGTGCCTATGTCTATTTCAATTTTCCATATATTGGTGTCAGAGTCCGCGGCGTAATTAGTAAAAAGTAACTATATATTTAGCAATGGATTCAAGCTTCCAGCTCATGATTACGGAGTTATGAGGCACGCAGAAGGTTTGGAGAGCACGAATAAGGGACAAGAGTTGCTCGAGGTGCTGGGAAGGAATAACCCTTGCTTCTTAGAACGTTACTTACTGAAATTTCCGATGAAACTCGGGGAAAAGGTATATATTGCCCAAGCCAAAGCCAAAGCGAAAGCCAAATCGCAACGATCGCAGCACCGGTTCTAGCTTGATTCGCGTTTCTCTGAGTCTTGGAGAAAAAGTAGAAAAATCGTCTTTATGCACCAATCTGGAATTTATCTCTCTCCTTGGCGCTGCAATTGTTGACACGTTTTAGGTTTTAATCAGCGTGTATTTGCATTGATGGATTATCCCTTGGTAAACTGCAATGTCCACAACGGGGTTTTATTCCCCTCGGAAAACTTATATACACACATATATATCTCCTACAAAGACACTGAACTGCTTGAGTTGAACCTGTTTAAGCAAGTTCCAATCTATCCAAAAAAGATAAGAAAAAGATGTACTCTGATCATCACTCAGTTAATGGGTTGTACAATGCAGACAGATAGGTTTCTTGTTTTCTGGAAGAAATCCAGGAATCGCTCAATAGTGGCGAGCAAAATATCTTTCATGACGATATAATCGAAGAAAGGAAGATTAATGGCCAAGGAGATAAAAAAAAAAAAAAAAAAAACTGTTATCAGTTCTCTATATATAGCAAGTTTGATGTAAGGAGACAGCTTTATCGCACCCTCAATATTGCTGTGTTTTTGAAATATAAGATAGTAATAAAAGTCAGGCTTTTTTTCTGAGGTTAAGCCTCAGCTGCACTCAGGACTGAAACAAGAAACGTTCTATTAACATTGATAGCGCAAATAAATATCCTGTTTACTATCATTAAACTTCAAAGATCTTAAAACGTCTGGTGGGATTTGCCTCAGAAAGCTATAGAATTTCCGGAAATATAACTTAGACGGAGCTTTTATAGAAAAACGCAGTAAGACAATGAGTTCTTTGTACCTGTCTAATATCTCTTTCAGGGAAAAGTACTAATAAGCCAAAGTGAGCCGTTTTGATAGTCAAACGTAGTGCCATTGATGACCAAAGAAACAAACAAAAAAACAAAGAAACAAACAACAAACAATTGATATACTAATTGTTAGGTGATACGTTAATTAGCATTTTTTTAATTACTTTTTTACTTGCTTTCTTGTTCTCACAGACATCTCTTGTTTTAGATTGACCGTGATGATATCACTAGTAACGCTAGAGTTGACCCAAGAAACGGCTAGAATCTTTAACGTGACAAAAAGGTCAAAAAGCTCTTTTCTAAAGTGCTCAACCCTCGACACACACAAACAGCCCTCTTTGGACACAAAGAAGAGCATTTACTCTGTTTTCTCGTAGACGATCTTGGAAGAATCATGTAGGTCTAAACAAAACAAGTAAAAAGCGGGAAGTCAGCAAGGAAAACATGCAAGAATTCAATATAAAATTCTTCCCCTCGCTATTGCGCAGATGGCAGAATCGCAAGTGCTCGTCTTTGGAAGGGGGTAGGAGAATTCCAGAAACAATTGGGTGGGGGTGTTTAGCCCGCTTCCCAAAACCCTTACCCTATTTAAGACCAAATCTGCGATTTTCCCTATCTTATTAATGACCGGACCAAAAATTCGACACTCTTTTTAATTGAGACTTGACTCTTACCCTGTTTCAAACCTGTCTGATAACAAGTTCCCTAGTTGTGAGGGACTTTAGTTGATGGGCTGATCGATAATGATGAAAATGTAGCTCCTTCTAAAATAAAATACTCAACTGAAGACTAGAGTGCAAAAACCATATCCTACTTCAGACCAGAACCGATAACCCATAATTTACGACAAGAACGGGTAAAATACCATACCCTTTTGGGGTGACACCTATATATATAGCCCATATAAGGGAGTATCTTCCCCGGAGCTTGTTTCGTCTGGTGTTCATTGAATCACTCAATCATCCGCGCCGCCTATGGAAGAGAGAGGCTGTAAACAGCTTGTTAATATCTCAGTTTAGTGCCGCATTTTTTTTTACGTGACTATATCTGGTAAACATGTTAATTATTTCCGGTTTAAACTTTCTAATTATGTTCACATACGTCACACGATATTCGTACACTCATCTGAAACTCTAAACCGGTCTAAACTCAAACTGAAAACCTACAAACCACCCCGACCCTCCCCCAACCCCTCCTCTTCTCCTCCCCTCCGTACATATGTATCTTCCAGTACATTTTGATACTAAAACAAATCTATAAATATACGTCATATTTGAAACTGTTTGTGTGAGAAGCTTAGATGAAAGCTAATTACGAAGACGTATGAAAATATGGTCGTTGTAATTGCTTCTTTAAAGTGGAATATCACATCTCCCGGCTGCGCTGATTCTCCAGATAATTATAACGAAGCTAATCCCTGCTGCTGTAGTCGTCTGTCAGCATTGTCCCTATGTACTGTGTTACATCGAAGAGTCCTTAAAAAGAGAATTGCAGGGTCATAAAACTGAAACAGACGATTAAGTAAGCTACTGTATAGATTACTGGTGAAACCGTCAATTTGTATGTTCAGTCTGTACACAGGCGTCCTATCTGTCTAACATCTGTCCCAGACTCGAATGACCGACTGTTATAAATTTCCATGTGTACTCGAAATGACGTGAAATGTTCAGATTTTCGGGGTCTTTGATCGGTGGTGTGTTCTTTGGCAAGGCAGTTAACTTCAATTAGCATCTCTCGCAAATAGGATTTTTATTATATCGCAAAAGTCGAGTTGCTGCATGCAAGCTAAAGTATCTACATTAGTGTAACCAGGCCAATTTCAGCAAGAAGCAAAACTATAGTCTATATGAAGCATTACTACTATTAGTTTTTTCAGTAAGATAAGTCAGCAAATTTAGTCTTAAATCGTTTTTAAAACGCGATTAAAACGCGGGTTGTAAAAATACACAAAAAGAAAAATATAGGACAGCGACTGGAGTAGGCAGAGGCAGGGTGGAGAGAAAAACTGATAGGCCCTGACAGTCAAGATCAATCGGGAATGAAACACAAAATCGCCAAAACTTGGCATGGGTGCGCAAAATTGAAGAAGAGTAGTAACACAGATTGCATTTGGGTCGACCTTAAAAAAACTTCGGCACGACGTTTTCAGGTTTATGAAGATGACCCTTTGATATGTGGCCGAAATTTTGCCAATAAACGGCTGCTTCTCAGACAGTTATAAATTTAGAACTCATCAGTAGTTGACGAAAATAAACCGAATTACCTAAAATACCGTGTCCTACAGTCTCTTGAGACTCTTAATGGTAATAGTAATAGAATAGACTGAGATGTTCAGTACTTTGGATATCAACGTGTAATAAATATTATACTGTATTGGTTTTATTCAAAAATGAGACTAAGGTAAACAGTAATTTCATCCTCTTTTTACTAGACACTTCACTGGTGACTTCCTAGACGGAAGCATTCTTGTTATCAAGGAAAAAATTATGGTGACGCTTGCTCAATATCCGGCTCAGCGGAGCCAAGCCTTTCGCCGCTTCCTGCGCGGAAAATATTCCCTTGAACTGATATAACTGTAATTCCATTTCAAGACGATATCGATAGCTCGGGATATCCGTTAGGCTCCATTAGGAAATGTTTCGGTAGGTTCTTTCCAAAAGTTAAATCTGTGAAATGAATCTCACAGTTTCGATGACATATCAAAGGTATTAGATGCACCCTTTCAATACCTGAATTTAGCTCGTGTATTTTTATTACTCAGGTTTTACTCTCCTACCTGGGATGCGATACACTATATATTTCAAATGTTTAGGATGACAGTCATGCGGATACTAATTTGCAATGCTTTACATTTTCTTCATCTTTATTGACTTCTAAGATCTTCTTAGGAAAAACTCGATTTTCCCAAGTTGCAAATCTTGGCTTAAATGACGTTTTAATAGAGATTCATCTCGCATTGTCCTGGTTTCTCCTTTGAAAGAGAGCTGAAATTCCTAAACAGCAAAAAAAAAAACAGTAAGCCGTACGTTTTGAGTGTCTGCAGTGGGCAACACTGCTGTCTTATACAACACGTCCCGTACTGTCCATTCGGTACCAAAAAATAGACATAAAAAAGAAAGAGGAAAAAAACATATGGTCCGCTTCTGGAAAAAAACAGATTCAATCAGTCTATTTTTATACACTTTATATAAGTACTACTTGATAACCCCTAATGCCCCACAGAAAAAACCAGAACCTTTCAAATGGGTACAGCCCTATTGAAAATGGGTACAGCCCTATCGAAAGCTCACAAGCTGCGGGCTTGACAAATAATTATTGTAACGGATAATCCGTTAGATTTAGTACCAAGAGAATGTGCTGCCGCCATGCCCCACCAATCAGTTTGGCTATGCACTCGTATCGCATTATTGGCCCGCACCGATGCCGGCTGGTAATGCATGCATGTGTAGATAGACAGTATTACTATGACTAGAATAAATCGGACCGAAGGCTTTATACGGTCTCTAGGCCGTTCTGTCGATTTACTTTAAAAGCTTCTCTAAAACCGTTCCGCAGATTTTGCGACGTAGACGAACCAGAAAACGTCCACATTCACAGTCAGCAGCAAAGAATTCAAATTTAATCCAAAGTGAAACTGCCGTGGTCAAAAACTAGACATCTAAACAGTAATACCGCCCCAAATAATAGCCTTTTCTTGAGTTACATTTTCCCAAAGTCCAACTCGGTTTTCCTTATGTAAATATCATATAAATGATCTTTGAAATAAACAGCACTCAGGACAAGAACTTTTGAGGACGCTCAATTTCAGGTTAGTGAATACATCCCTTCATTTTACAATTGTCAGTCATAAGATTCCGCTAGCGCTAGCGCAGAATGATTTGTACCGCTTTAATGAAATACAATTCCTGTAATAAAAGGATAATAGAGTAATTCTGGATTATTGAGGTATTTTCAGATTACAACTTAATCGCATCCAAAGGACAGTAAACGAATTTCAGAGATTATAAATACTTGCAGTTCATGAAATTCATAAAATTCCTTACGGCATGCAGGCCGAAATTCATGATCAAGTTATCTCTTCGTGATCGTGTCCCTGAGAATTGAATTAAAAGTTATTGACTAAAAAATAATGGACTGAAATGAACTGACATCGCTCCATCGAGGTAACTTCAAACTCCTTAGAATCCCCTTGGAAATTTAGAACAATGCACTGACAGGAGATATATATGAAATTATTATGGCCTCGCTTTTCGAAGACCTTAATTTACAAAGCACCGACAAAAGTACATGACAATCTGTTTACAGACTTTAGTCTTCTATCCGATAGAGAAAGAAACCATTTAGGCAGTTTAATTTAGCAAATGGAGGGCCTTAGCATAACTGAAGAATAAATGGCAAACAAACTAAATCCCAGCCTTTTAGCTTCAAATCAGTAGCATATTAAATAGATTGGTTACAGTTCTTCATTACAGTTTTGCAGTTCGGTATTAACCATCAGTTGATACCTTGAACTTGTACGGATGAAAGAACACACAGTTATAAGTTAGGGTGTAAAGGAATTTCACCAAATTTGGCTAATTTTCAAAATCACAGGTTTATCATAGAACAGAGAGAATATCTTCAACAGACCTGCGTCATACTGTGGACATCATGCAGGTCCAAAATGAAGCGCGGCTGAACTGATTCAGGTGCACAAAATTTTAGACACCGAGGATTATATGATTAAGGTTGGCCAAGATAATCTGCTCAATTAGTTCAGATGTGCCTCTTTAAAATAATGTAGCTGTCTGAGGAGTAAAAGACATTGCATTGTTTAGAATTTCAACCAGTTTCGTTCCATGGGTCAATAAAACATTTCAGAGCCGAAACAAACTGACACGTCCATTGCAAGAACTTTTCCGCTTGTCATCATCAGAATGCACGACCGAGTCTCTGAGTTCCAAGATCCTTACAATTCCACATAATTAAAATAGAGAAAATATCGTGACGAGCTGGAAAGAGATGCAAAAATTGTGTCAGTCCCTAAACACCTCGCCATTTTTAGCACTGATAATAATTCGAAGATTCTGGCTGAAGCTTCAAATTCCGTATTGCACCGTAAGGGCTGGTGAATGGTAAATGCAACTTGCGAGAAGACGAGACTAGCGTTTTTCTTTGTAAGCCCGAGGTATTTTGACTTTTTCAACTGCGGGACCGAGACCTCAACGTGTTTTAAATGCGAGCTCGAGACGTTCATATTCTAAGACGAGTAAGACGTCATTTATAAACGCAAACAAACAAATGGTTACTTCAAGACCGTTCGAGACTTTCTTAGCCTAGCTTGCAAGAACTGGAGACTCCGAAACAGCTTTGGGAAAAAATCAAGACTACGAGACCCAAGAAACTTAACGAAACGTTTGCGAGACCCGTGGATATGAAGGACCATTCGCCACCCCTACTTGTAGCTCGAGGACTCAAATTGTTTCCTCCTTCTTTCTCATTTAGACACTGTGTTTTAAAATAACCCTGCAGTTAGTAAATAAAAATGCATACGGTTTGTTCCAAGATTCCTTCCATTTACCCTAGCTTATGTACTCGTGCTAGCATTTCTTGAAATCAAAAATCCAAACTGTTCACTAAAAGCTCTCCGGCTAAGAAACGACCACTGAGTTAATCTAAGATGGCGGCCATTCCACTGACTTTCAACATCAGTGGTGAAGACTGACTCCAATGGCAAACAAAACCCTTACGAACGGAACAGCTGGCATGGTCCGGCAGGGTGAAAACAAACTCTGAGACACCAAAGCTATGCAATGATTAGGATTTTTTCATTAATTCCTTCATTTTATACATGCCTTACGTTCTTCCCCGTTGGAAGCAAGATGGAAGACGTCTGTGTACGTTAACGGCCCACAGCCCACTAGTCCTATGATTTCAAACTTTCTCTTCGTTTCACCAATTACCAAGAAGATTGAAGTACACTGATGATCAACGATTAGCTCCGTCATGTCCTCGAGCGTTCGTATCTTGAAATCATGATCTTTTTGTTCGTATCATACAAACAAAAACTTCATGATTTCAAGTCACTTCCTTTAAGCTAGTAAAATCTGTAACAATTAAAGGGCGCGGAAAAAAATCGGAACATGAAGTAACGTGAATTCTAAGGATAGCCGCAGTTTGTCAGCTGGGATAAGCATTCTTCCCATGAATGATGAACAATGAACAATCAAGAAAGGGGACTGAAATCATTCTCTATACAGTAATAACTTGAGCAATACGCAGCGCGAGCCTACAACAGTTGGTATAACGTTCATGTTTCAGAAAGTTTTCTTGATATTTATCACATCTTGGACATCACGAACATGTCTTCCCCTGAATCTCTATTGGCTGTCCGGTAGACTAGCGATCAATGAAAATGAACTAGGAATGACAACAAAGACCACTGAGGTCATTAGCCCAGGTAAGCTTATTTTACTTGTTTTATTTCAGACCCGCA